AAAACATTATCCAGTCTTACGAAATAAAATGTTATTTTTAATTCTCTTATTTTTAACTTGTAATATGTGTAGATGCTTTATTGAAGAATTTGTATTTATATCGTCTGGTTTTCATTTTATCCAAAATTGCTAACATTTTTCATTGATGAACAACTTTCTAATTAGTAGTCTTCCTTTTGTTTTCTCATAAAATCACCTGTAAATTCAGTTTCCGGTTAATTTAATTGAATATAACAAAACCTTATCTGCCTATGTGGCAAATATCTTCCTGAAATATTGTATTTATGTTGCATTTAGGGATATTTTAAAAAACGCACATGTAGTTAATGGGTATTTTTTAACGGGTGAACAAAAATTTTGTTTTTAGAAAGAATATAACATAATTGCAAACTATATTCTATCTCAAATGTAATTACAGGCTTCCTAGATAGTGCAAACTCAATTTTTTTAAATATATTTAGTTATCTTTATGCCCGGAGAGCATACAAATTGCCTTGCCTGGTAATTGTAAATGCCTTAAAATTTTTTTAACCATGTGATCCACTATAAGTTAAATAATTACAAATAGCATTATGTGAACGATTAATGAATTTAGATCTGCCAGTTTATTCCTATGTAATTAATCAAAATATCATTGTTATCATTAATCAAAATATCACATCCAATTATCTTTCACTCCCCATACTAAAACAAGCTCAAATTTAAGCTTTAGAAAAGATTTATTACATGTATTGCACAACTAGATGTTATAGCAGTCTCATACAGAAATTTTCTACGTTGTACGGTTAACCATTTTGAGTTATGCGATATACATGCATACATACAGATGGAGGACAAAATAATGCAAACACCTGTGAAAAGTATGACGTATTTCACACCTGCAGTACAGTTATGCCATCTACAACAGAAGTCTGCCACCTAGTTGAGCGTGAAGAGGAAGGTATCAGTCTCTCAACAGCAGTCACCTGCGTTGCATGCTTCGATCAAACTGTCTGTGAGAAGTTGAAATGTCAGAGTTCCAAAGAGGAATGATAGTTGGAGCGCGTTTAAGTAGAACATCGATTACGGAAACAGTGTGTAAATGTAATACCTTGTGGGGTGTGCAAGGAGTAGGGTATCAGCCCTTATGACAGCGAGAGGGTAAGACGATGTCTTCAAAGCACAACAGTGGCCGAAAGTCAAAGCTAGCTGATAGGGATAGACGGGTCTTGAAGTGCATAGTAGCCCGAAAGCACAAGCAATCATTATCCGAGATAGGATCCGAAATGAACAGTCATGTCCAGGACCCCGTTTCAACAAAAACTGTCAAAGGGGAACTTTATGCTGCAAATATTTATGGCAGAGTGGCAATTCGTAAATCCTTGGCGAGAGCAACTGATGCTTTCAAGCAACGCTAATTGTGCAGAGATCACAAAGGTTGGTCCCCACAGCAGTGGAAACAGGTAATATGGTCAGATGAATCGCCATTCACCCTATTTTAGACGACCGGACGCGTTTATATCTGGAGAATGCCCAAAGAAGCATTTCATCCTGACTGCCTATTGCCGACTGTGAAGCATGGAGGTGGCGCCATTATGGTATAGGATGTGATATCTTGGGCAGTCTTGGGCTACTTGTTATTCTGCATGGGAAGATCACATCCAATCACTATCTAAGCATTTTAGGGGATCATGTGCATCCTTTTGTCCAGACTTTATTCCCTGGGGAGTGACTGCATTTTCAAGACAACAATGCCCCCATCCACACTGCTAGGTGTATTCAAGAGTGGTTCGAAGAGCATGACAATGCAATTGAACATCTTGTTGGCCCCCTCAGTCTCCGTTCTTGAATATTATTGAACATTTATGAGCATATTCGGAGTCCAAACTTCATTCCCAATTTCCGCCTCCATCCGGACTTTCGGAATTAGAGATCGCTCTGCAGGAGGAATGGCTTAATATTCCTTTAAATATTATCCATGACCTTTATGCATCTATCCCACGCTGCATTCAATCTGTACTTCAGTCAAAGGGGGGTCCAACCCCCTATTAATAAAGATTTTCCATTATTTCACAGGTGTTCCTATTATTTTGTCCTCCATCTGTACATACGGACACACGTAGCACTAAAACTAGTCATAAGCCCCAAATATAAAATTTCAGCATTTTATGGTGAAGTCATGCTACATATGTACATGTAAACATCATGATGGAAATAGTCATAATGGAAATTTCTTTTGAAATATGAAAATTGAAATTTTTTGCGATTACAATACTTTATTTATTTCTCTCACAAGTCAAAACGGTGTCATAAAAAACTAACTACTAATAATTCATGATGCAATCTAAAGAATTAATCAAATCTAATCTTTAATCTGTAATAAATTTAAAATATTTGAAAATTAAATATAAACATAATATTAAAATAAGTTGCAAATAATTTGTATTCGAAAAATTCAAACGTGAGGGAGAAAAAATTTCACAAATTCCCTTTGTATATTAAAAAGTATTTTCTCAAAATAATTGTAATTCCTTAAAGAATTCTTTAAAGAAACTGGGACTTTAAAGCATTTTATGTAGTTTCTATTACTGATTCATATTGTCTAATTTTCTGTATTCGGCACATATCTTAAGGTACGAGTAATATACAGCATATGTGTTAGTATGCAAACTATAAAATAGCCAAATAGGAGATAAAATACCATTTTAGCAACCAATCCTGTGACGAAGATACCATATGGAGAAAACTAATTTCACTCATTAAATTCAGCAGAGGGGAGAATTAGCTTAATTATATCCACATGGTAAGGGGGGCCTGCTCTTGAAGTAGTTTGAGTCAAAATACTTGCCGTTTTTGCGACAGACCAGGTGAATACACACGATTATTTTTCATGCTATTTCCTGAAAAAGCCGAACCACTCGGAGGGTTAAAAAATATTAAAAACATATCAGTTAACAACAAGCTGAATTTTGACTTAACCAAAAAGAACAATTGATTCAGGTAATCAGAATTTCATATCATTGCAATCTGGATAACTGGAGTTCTACTGTACTATTATATTGAATTCTCTTTTTATATATGTCATATTTTTATGTTATTTGGTCTTAATATTTTATATTTGTTATCAATATGTTACTCTCTCATTTATTAAATTAAAAGAAAGTTTAATATTTTACGAAACACTTAGTTTTGAGTACTTGCATATTAATGCAACCACCTTGGCAGTTTTTTACCGATGAAAAGGTAAAAGTTACTTTGTGGAAGCTAGTTATTAGTTTTCATGCCTTTTTTAAGGAAGATTCCCAAACTACTGACATTTAAACCACTTTGGCACAATTTGGCAGTTTTTTACAGATGAAAAGGTAAAAGTTACTTAGTGGGTGCTAGTTGTTTTCATGCCTTTTTTTAGGAAGATTCCCAAATGACTGATATTTATTGTAAGTTGGTAGATATTATCAACATATAAAAAGAAAACTTACTTCAGTAATGTAAAATTTAAATTTGAAGTATTAAATAGGAATTACGTGATACATTTTAGAAAACAAAACTCGCATTCTTTTTCAAATCTTTCTAGCATACTTTTTATGTACTAATCTCCTGCAGCACACAGAGATCCATTTTCGATAAAAAAGCATAGAGCTTCCATAAGAGAATAATGGAGACATGACTTCATGCAATACTCGCCAACAGCCACTATCTAGGAAGTGTATTTACTCATTGTTCCCTGTAAAAAATTTTCAGCAAAATTCTGTATCCCTGAAAAAAGTCTATCACAGTTTCTTTCATTGCTGGCAAATTCCACAAGCTAAACTAAGTTTAAGGCAAAAAATACCATGATTTAATTATAAAACCCATTATAACTTGGAATACAACTACAACAACAACAACAACAACAAAAAAAAAAAAAAAAAAAGGCATACAAAATGGCAGTGTTGCTTGACTGAAGGATTGTTATAAGCATGCTTGCCAGAAGAATGTTTATATGCATAGTTGCCAGAGTTTGGGACATTCTGAAAATTGGGCGACTTCTACTAAAGTGGTTGCATTAACCCTTAGCGCTCCGCACGCTTTTGTACCACTACCTAGCAGTAACTCTGGCACATTTTCGCAGCATCCAGAATATCTGCATAAATCTCTTTCTTGTAAATATTTTACAAAGAAAGGGATGTGACTATTCTCCTTAACTGACCAATAATCCTGCATATTCGGCCAGGGGTATCGTACCTATAACAACTCCAATAAAAGCCCAAAACTCTTCCTCTTCCACTGCATGCCATGTTTTGCAAATAGAATTACTAGATATTTCTTTATTCTTTAGAACATTTTCTGCGTAATTCTTGATTTCTTTTATAATTTCATTTACCAGTTCGTTTGTGAAAAATAATTTGAAATATTGTGTTGGCTGTACAATATTTCTAGGAATTTGTAGTCCAATGACCTTTGGCGATACACTAAAATGTATTCTATCCAGAATATCTAATTATTTCCTGACATCGCGCCATTCATCTAAGTTTTCTGGCGACTCTTCGCTTTCACTTTCAATAAACTACCATTCGTCGTCTCTTTGATAGTATAATCTTGGAACCACTACTTGAAGTGTCAGAATTATAATCAACATTGTTTTCCACAATATCTTCTAACAATGAAAAATCAAACAGATCTTCACTATCACTCAACTCTATATTCTCATCACAATAATTATTTTTCTCCATGTTGTTAACCATAAAATGGGTCAAATAATGTTTCAATCGTAACAGTAGCGAGACTGAGCACGTTTTAACTACAGATAACAATTGCCAACGCCGACGATTCCGTAACATCTTAAGCCTAATCATGCTAAAAACATTCGGCTCCGCAGCGGAGCCTACGGAGTTACGGAACAAATGACGGACGGCTCTGTAGCAGAGCCAATGGAGTGCTAAGGGTTAATATAAGTCGCTAGTATTTTTGTATTTTTTAGTTTTTAGTTTTTGAGAGATGTGTATTTATTTCAGTATGAAAATTTGCCATATTATTTATAGGATATACCTCCTGAGGATATGCAGGCTAAATGTGTAGGTAAAGATAGTAATAATAATGTGTACTGGTATTTTTGTGATGAGAGGTTGTATAAAGAAAATCTGTCACCTAAAAAGAAAGCGTAAGTAATTTTCATAATCACTATATTTTAAACTCTTTTTTTTTTTTTTTTTTTTCCCTGGATAAAATTCCTTTGTATTCTTTCATTCTTTCTGAAATATTGATTTATCAATCATCTTTGTCTTTATGTGTGCTTTATTGCCTTAAGTTTTTATCAGTATACTTTTACAATTATTCAAATTAATTATTAACTGTGCACTTTTTAATTATTAAGTTTGTAATGAAAATAAAAAAAAAAGTTATGTGTTTTAAATGTTGTAATGTAAAAATCTATGTTTTTATGAGTTTAATATGTGTCATTGCATTTTTCCTTTCTCTGAAAAATTTCAATAAGGTAATTATTCCGAAAATCCGAAATTGTTAAGTTTTTGCTTGAGTAAGAAAATGATAGGCCTGTGTGAGCAGTAATTTTCAGATTAAAATGAAATTAAATTTAAAATTTTCTACATTTTGAGAAATTATTCCAGTATTTGTTTAACTCTTTTTTCCAATGCTTGAATTAAACAAAATACAGTCAAAAGTCGTTAATTCGGACACCCATAATCCGGACCTCAAACCTACAAATTTTCTGTGCATGCGCCGCGTTGACGGCTGCGAATATGCGCGTGCGCAAACCTTTTATACGTTTATGAATGCGTATTTAATGTATAACGGATGGTATAAGCTAATCTAAAATTATCTGCTTCAGTTAAAGTTGCAGATTGCGTTGTCCCTTAATCTTCGAATTAGATCCGGCTATTTTTTGCAGACTGTTAGAGCAATTTTATAAAAGTAAGCTTAAACTTCGATTATATCAAATAAATTTCGATATATATTTGTTAATATGTAAAGGATCTAAAGCGGAAAGTATTTTGAAAATCCGAAATCTGTTTATCAATTTCACGCTGCGGCGGGGGGAACCAGCGGCGGGTGCGTAATGAATTGGAAGTTGATTTGTCAGCACTGTCTATCTTCAGCGCAGATGTTTTTTTTTATTTGGCTTATAATCCTTACCAATGTAGTATTTCATCTCGATATGCTCCGTTTTGATATGATTTAAAACAAGTTTCTCGTCATTATAATTCGCTTCCGATAGCGAAGAAAAGTAACAGAGGTTATTGAAAACGAAAAAATTCGATTGACAAATTAGTCGGTGTTCTTGACACAGCAATTATAGGAATTGAACAGCGAACTTTGTAACTGAACAAGAAATTATGTTGTTTAATAGAATAAAGAGAAAGTATTATCACATGAAATGAAGCAAAACTTAAACAACTTACATTGAAAGAAATGTTAATAAGTAAACAAATAAATTTAAGCTTTTTCTTTTTGCAAATTTTTGATACCTTAGATCATAATTTTCTTATTTCATAAATTACGGTTTCATATTTTTAATTTTAGAATTTCTGCATGCCATCTTACGAGATTTAAACTGATGATCTATAATCCGGAATCGCCGAAGTCCCGACGAGTCCGGATTAACGACTTTTGACTATATAGTTCTGTACTGTAATTGATATGTAACTAAATATGCATGATTCTGTATGGTAGTGAAAGTGTGTATTCTGGAAGTTTATTAAAAAGGTGATTCTAATGATATTGTACTAAAATCTTTAATTGCACCATTGTCTTTACAATAAAAGCTGAATATCATATGTTTTTACTTTCCTTTCAGTAGCCAAGTAGCCAAAGCTGCTGAACATTTTTATTTCAGATTTAGTTCTTGGTGACTGACTGGGTTAGCTACACTGACTACCAATAAGTATTTGGACACCTGTGATAGAAAAGAAAAACTAACTTTATTCAAAATCAATAGTTCGTAGAGCCTCCACGAGAGGTAATTACAGCGTGGACCCTCCGGAGCATACTTTCCACAAGTCTTTGACAGCTAGTGGTATTTTCTTCCACTCGGCTTGGAGAAGATATAGAGGTTCCTTCACTGATTTTGCACGGGTTGTGCATCCCTGAATTTGGCGATGCAACTCGTCCCAGAGGTTCTCGATAGGGTTCAGGTCTGGACTCTGGGCAGGCCAGTCCATTCGATGAACTCCATTGGCACCATACCAAGCCTTGGTTAACGTCGAAACATGACAACTGGCATTGTCGTCCTGAAAGTAACAGGGGTCCAACCCATAAAACTGCCACAACGTAGGAAGCACATTGTCATCCAAAAATAGTGCAGTAGGCATCGGAGTTGAGCTTACCATGAATGGGGACGAGGGTCCCAGCCCATACCAGGAGAAACAAACCCCCCAGACCATAATTCCACCTCCGCCGAACTTGACTGTTGGCACAATGCATTCTGGCAGGAGTCGTTCTCCAGGTAGATGCCAGACCCAGACTCTGCCATCCGAAAGGTAAAGGGTGAACCTTGATTCATCACTCCAAAGAACCCGTTTCCACTGATCTACGGTCCAATTTCGATGTGCTCTGCAGCACATTAACCGAGCAGCGAGGTTGGACTTTGTGATCAAAGGTTTATGGGCAGCAGCACGACCATGAAAACCAAGCAGATGTGCTTTCTTACGGATGGTGTTCGTTGAAACAATACTCCCGGATGCCTGTTGAAACTCCTCGCGGATGAGGGCCATCGGTTGGGTGCGGTTCTTCCGAATTTCTCTCGACAGCACTCGTTGGTCTCTATCTCCCAGTTTCGCTGGTCTGCCGACTCGGAGCACATTCTGACAATCATCGCTCACCTTCCACTTCTTAATCACGTAGGCCACTGTCGATTTTGGGTACTTCAGATCGCTAGATATGTCCCTTAAGAATCGGCCACATTTGTGATACCCGATAATTATACCTTTCTCGAAATCAGAGAGCTCCGAACTGCGAAGCATCTAGCATGCGACTAAAGCCGATGCCATTTCCTACACGATATATACTGGCGGAGTCTGTGACGTACCTTAAGACCGCAGATATCGTCACCTTGCATAGGTGTCCAAATACTTATTGGTAGTCAGTGTATATGAAGTTTGTATTGTTTCTGCTAGGAGTAATAAAAATATCTGCCAGTTTCCACTAGTTCTTCATGAAGACATTCTTAAGTATATACACTGTATAACATAAAAAGGTATGCACCAACAAGTTATCCTAATGGGATGAATATCGATAGATGTGATATACACATATTGAAAATGAAATGCTAACACTATCATAGGAATTAAATGTTTTATTCGGGCAATACAGTACAAGAGTTCCCCCCTCCCACCACCACCATTGCAAGAAAAAATCAATATTTCGTTGTTGGCCCATTTCTGGCAAGCTGTTATCTGGCTAGGCCTTAACTCATAGAGTTAGTGATTGTCCTGCTGTGGGACTCATTGCCATACACATTTCAGTAAAACATGCTCTGTTCAAAAGAGATTTGGCAATACTGCCGGCTTGGGAAGTGTTGGAGAAGCATAAAGATTGTATACATTGGAATGCTGAATGTCTCGGTTTGGTCCATGATGCTCGAGTTTTAAGAAATTCAAATATTTAGAGCTAGGGAAAGCAAGAAAACTGTTTTCACCAGAAAATTTTCAGCTAAGAAAACTTAATGGCAATGTAAAGCCACTTCTTATGGGTGACCAGACTTACTCTTTATTGAATTGGCTGATGAAGCCTCATGGAGGTAATTTAAATGCTGAAAGAGCTCTCTTTAATAGGAAATTGAGTTCTCGCATATATGTAGAGCATGCTTTTGATCAGCCAAAGGGAAGGTGGAGTTGCCTTCACAAAGAAAATGAACAGCCTGAATGGAAACCCAAGTATGGATTGTTCTGAAAATTGCTAACTTGAGACAAATTCTGAACGTGGTTATGAGGTTCGATGCACTTTCAAAAATTTAATTGGAGATTAATAAATTAATAAACTCAAGACGATATGCTGACATTGTGAGTTAAGAGAAAATAATGAGCGGTTTGTTAAAATTTAGATCAGATGAAAGATCTTTTAATATATAGCATTTTAATACTATTTAGCACAGTGTAATAAGTTCATTTTACAGTACGCAACATCCTCAAAAATGATCGTTACAACGCAGTTCGATCATCCATCTTTTTGAACAACAATCTCTCTCGTTGCCATTCCGTAACAGAGAAACTTACCTCTCATGGAGTTCGATAGTGGCGCGACATTCTCCCCACCTTGAGTTTGGGGATACAAACTCAAAACAGTAATATAATGATAATACATACATACAATTTTGAGATAACAATAACGTACATAATAATAATAGAAATATTTCAAAATATTAGAATGCAAATTGAAATCAATATTTTAGAGTTCAAACACAGAAAGTTCAAAAGTTTGTTTAGAAGTTTATAAATCCAGTCTTTTAACTGGTTTTATTTTTCGTCCTGAGTGAGACACGTGAACAGTTTCATTAGAGTTAGTATTAAGCTCAGGATTTTCAGCTACTACTTCCGGAACCTTTTGAGGTTCCGATACGTAGTAGCTGAAAATACTTCTGAGGTTCCGATACGACTTGCTCGTAATTTGGGGTCAATTCCAAAGGGTACAGTCGTTGGATTGGTCTTAATATGTTTCCCTTTTCAGTTCGCAGTTTCACAAGTCTGATGATTCCATCTTTTCCTGGAAAGAGTTCCAGTACTCTCCCTAGCAGCCAATGGAGCCTTTTTTTATCATCTGTACCAATTAACACTATGTCACCTACATTTATTTTATCTTCTCTTTTGTTAACTGAAGAACGAAGGAAACCCAGATACTCCCTTTTAAACCTTCGTTTTAGATTTTCACGAACCTTTTGAATATGTCTCCATCTCAAAACAATATTAGTCTTTTCAATTTGATCCAAATCAGGAACATCATTTAATGGAATGTCCTGAAGAAACATTGAGGGGGTCAAGGTCTTCAGATCTTGTTCCTCGGATATGTAAGTTAACGGTCTGCTGTTCATGATAGATTCGCTTTCACAGACGAGAGTCTGCAATTCCTCGTAAGACAAACAGGAGCGTCCAAGATTTTTTCTCAAAAGATCTTTCAAAATCCCAATCAAGCGTTCCCAGAAGCCTCCCC